GGGCTCCTGGGTGGCTCAGTCAGTTAAGTGTCTGCCTTCAGCTCAGGTCATGATCCCAGGGTACTTGGCTCTCTGCTCAGTGGGGACCCTGTTTCTCCCTCTGCCTGCCGCTCCCCCTGCTTGTGCTCTCTCTCTGTCAAATGGGTGAATAAAATCTTTAAAAAAATAAAATAAAATAAAAATATAGATTGTAAACATTGGAAATGCATTATACTTTCAAGTAGTAGAAATAATATTACTATTCCTGAGAGAAAAAATTTTTTAAAGTAGGAGAAATGAAATTACAGAAGCAAGCTTACCATCAAACCTGGTGGTCCTCGGGGACCAATTGGCCCTGGTAAGCCAGTAGGACCAGCTGGGCCCTGTTATAAAGGAAGTGAAGAAAATGATGAAAAAAAAAAACCTCTTACTATATCATGCAAAGAATTAATGAATGAAATTTTAACTTAAGTAATTGCCAGAATTTGGTTACACAATTCTACAATTCTGCAGTATTATAAGCAGAATTTTAAAATGTATAAGAATAAAAGGATTAAGTAACTATAAAGAAATTCAACTAAAAAGAATGGCTACAGCTTTTAGAAAACTGATGTTTTACAGTGGCAGATAACAAATGTAGGACAAATACACAGTAAGGAAGTTTTACAAAATAAAGTGATAAAGATGGGTGTTTAGTGGGACTTTTATGCTACAAATGGGAAGGGAAGGACTACCAGTTTCTAGGTGGCTTCTCTGTTTTAAAGTAAAAAATAACTATGTATTTATCCAAAGAAAGTGAAAACTAATTTGAAAATGTATATGCACCTCTATGTTTATTGCAGCATTATTTACAATAGCCAAGATATGTAAGTAACTCAACTGTCCATCCATAAGTGAATGGAGAAAGAAGATGTGGTATGTACACACACACACACACACACACACAGGAATATTACTCAGCCATAAAAAAGAATAAAATCTTGCCATTTGCAACGTGGATAGATCTAGAAGGTATAGTGCTAAGCGAAATAAGTTAGAGAAAGATAAATACCATAGGATTTCAGTCATATGTAGAATTTAAATTAAGAATTTAATTTAATCAAAACAGAGAAATTAAAGAGACAATAAAAAAAGAACAGATTCTAAATAAAGAGAATGAACTGATGGTACCAGAGGGGAGACAGATGGGGGGATGGGTGAAATAAGTGAGACAGATTGAGAGTACACTTATTGTGATGAACACTGAATAATGTACAGAATTGTGGAATCATTATATTGTACACCTGGAACTAATATAACATTGTATATTAATTATACCAGAATAAAAAATTTAAAAAAAATTTTAAAGGATGCAAAAATTAATTAAATTAAATAAAAAATAAGTAAGATTAAAGACAAAGAAGGAAGTGAGAATAACTGGGACAACAGATAAAGGAATGATGCAACTTTTGTGGAACACAATTTGGCATCCTAAAAAGCTGAAAATTTGACTTCAGTGAAATCCAGCAATTCTGTATCTAGGTATAAATCCTGGATTATTTTGTAATTTAAAAAAATTCCCAAACAACCAAATATTCAATAATAGGAGATCAGAGAAACAAACTCTAGTATGTTCACACAATGGAATGTTATATGGAAGTGAAACTGAATGAACTACAGTCACATACAATAATATGGATGTATCTTAATATATCTAGTGGAAAAAGTTGCAGAACTATATAAATGTTATGTTATTTTAAAAGCAAAATTAAACACTCTTGTTTAGAGATATATGTATTTATGACAAAACTATCTTTAAGAAGCAAAAGAAAACTCAAAATGGTACTTATATCTTCGTAGAATGCAGAAGGATGTGACTGTCAAGGAAACCCCAGGTTGATTCAAAATTATTTGAAATGTTCTAGTTCTTAAACGTTATTTTGGATTCACAGGTGTTCATTTGGTAGTTATGTTTCATAACATATATTTTGCATGTATTCTGCTGCATTTTCAACTATTACATAACAAAATATTATAAGGGATAAAGGGCAAGATTGAGAGTACTTAAGAGCACATGGATGGCTTTTGTCAAGCATGGAATGAGTTGGTAATTAATGAAAAAATTCCCAACAGTGTATCTAAGTAATCAAATATTAGAAAGTACTGATTTTTTTTTGGCAAAGGGATCAATCTTTGTGAAATATAAACCTCAAGAAATTGACTACCTGATCTATAAATACTCAAACGATACTGCTGTCTTTATGCATGTTATCTATAGGCTAACATAACTTTTTTCCCTAAGATTATACTTGATGTTCACCATGCATAAATTTTATTCCTTCAGCCTTCAAAATATGTTCATATATCATGCATAACTAACAGTGTTACAAATGATGTCTTCTAATATCTTAAATGGGAGACCTACAATTTTTATTTTTAATCAGACCATTTACAATTATCAGGACTACTCCTACCACCTACTGATCCTCACAGCAGAAGAATAAGAATACAGAAGTGTATTTCTGCTGCCAAACCCCAAAACAAAAATTTCCATGGCAACTGCATAGAAAGATAAAAGAACAAAGCAGTCCTTTATAAAATTCTCCCTGGTCCAGATTGCTTTTATTTTCAGGTATGAGGTACATGCAATGTCTATCAAACTTCAGATAATTTCTGTAACTAAAATAGAAGGAACTAAAGGCTGAAGAGAGAAAAGTGATGCTGTGATCTGATTTAATTAATATAGTGAAGAAGAAAATCACTGGATACTTACTTGTATTCCAGGAGGACCTGGATATCCTGGATTACCCTTTGGTCCTGGCAGTGATGACATAATTATACTGCCTGGTTCTCCCTGAAAGAAATCATCCGTGGAAGTTGTAAGTAACAGTTATGACACATGAAAATGGGCAAGAGCACAAAAAATGATCTGAGAATTAAATGTGTCATATAAATGTTCTGAAGATTAGGCAATCTCAGTAATTAACATGAATAAATTTACCTTTTAAAGGGAAATGGGGAAGTGGCCAGAATACACTTAAGTACAATCAATTTATTAAGGGCCTATGGTACCTTCAGTTACTCATTCATTACAAAACATTTATTAATTATTACTATTTTCCAAGAACTGTGTTAGGCTCTGGATACTCAGTAGTGAAGGAGATAAACAAGACCTCTGTCCTCATGGTGTTAACAATGTACTGCTTTTGAAATGCAGATCATAACATGTAAACAACTAAGACGACAAAAGGTTCAGTTAAAGGCTATGGAGAAAAACAATGTGGTACATGATAAAGAAATAGTGGAGAACTAAAAAGAAGTGATAATTATGTGACATGATAGAGGTGCTAATTATTATTACAATGGCAATCATAATGTATAAATGTATCAAATTAACATGTTGCATACCTTAAATTTATAGTGTTATACATCAAATATATTTCAATTAAAAAAAGAAATAGTGGAGGAATTAGTTTGGGTAGTCAAAAAAGGGCAATCTGTGAAGGCAACATTTAGGCTGAGATCTAAAGTATAATCAGGAGTCAGCCAGGTAAAAATGGGTTAATTAAGAGTATTAGGTAGTTGAAGTAGCATCTACAAAGGACCCAAAAAATGAAGAGCTTGGTACATTCAAATAACTTAATGCAGACCAGTGTGATCAGTGAGCCAAGGGAAAAGTAGTTTAAAGAGAAGTCTGGAAATGTAGGAAGGGACCAGAACATGCAGGTCTTACAGGCCTTGAAAAAGAATGTGGACCTTATATCAGATGCACCGGGAAGCCCTTGAAAGTTTTTAAGCAGGGAGATTAAATTACTGATTTATGTTTTTAAAAGATCATTCTTGACTACTTAATCTAGAATAAGTCAGGCTGGGAGGTGAGGGGACAGTAGTGAAAAAAAAAAAGACTAATTAAGAAGCTATTATAATAGTCCAGATGAGACATTATGGTTAGTGTGGTGGCAGTGGAGATGGAGAAAAGTAGATGAATTTAAGATATATTTTATAGGCAAAATTAACAGTATTTAGTAATAGAATGGAATGAGGTGTGTGAAGGAGTAGAAGATGTAAATACTAACTCTCAGGTTTTAGGGGTCTGGGTTAACTTTGAACGTGCTAATCTGAATGTCTCAGAGATATCGGAGTAGAGATGTCAGAGAGGCAGTTTAATACATGCATCTAACTCAGAAGAAAAGTCTATTTTAGAGATATAAATGTAGGTATTCAGTAGCTGGATTGTAAACAATAGCATGAGCTTTAACAACATTGCTAGGCATAGAAGAGAAAAAGGGGTCAGAATTGTGTCCTGATATCTGCTACATAGAATAGAATGAGCTTGTATAGAAGACTGTGTGATGACCAGAGAGATACAGAAGAAAAATCATGAAAGGGTAGTGTCACAGAAGTCAGGGAAAAGAGCATTTCTAGAGAGAGAGCAGATGGTCAACTCTATCAAAATGTAATGGGAACTGAAAGTATCAGAAACTTGAGGGGCACCTGGGTGGCTTAGTCGGCTAAGCATCTGATTTCAGCTCAGGTCATGATCTCAGGGTCCAGGGATTGAGCCCCACATGGGGCTCCCTGCTCAGCGGGGAGTCTGCTTCTCCCTCTCCCTCTGTCCCCTTGCTTTTTTTATAAAGATAAAATCTTTTTAAAAAGAGGAAAAAAGAAAAGAAACTTGAGTCTGATATACACATTTACAAGTGTATCAGCACATAGAAGATACTTCCATGGAACAATGGAGATTACTTAAGGAGGGCTTGTGGGTATCTGCACAACTTCTAGAAACATCTACTCTAAGGCAGAAGTCAAGAGAAATTATCTGATTGAAGTTGCAAGCTTTCCGAATATCTTATTCAAAATGTTTACTTTCCTAGCATGAGATGCTTACCTTCATACCTGGGATCCCAGGAGGTCCCTATTATTAAAAAGAAAATGATTATTTTATACACATGAGGGGGTGCGAGCAAAAGAACACACTGCTTTCCAAATAGAGTCAATTAAATAGACTACGGTAGGGTCATTCTAAGTAAACAGTATCTTAGGATACTTAGAGATGACATTTATATTAAATACAATAGAATCCTTGCTTTTACCCAGCACAGAGCTATACTACCAACTTCTTTTTTTTAAAAAAATCTTTTTATAGTTTACTAGTTTCTTTTTTATTTTCTCATTAAACTTTTGTTTTCATGGGTCTCAAAATCCTGTGACAGATTTTTGGTCAAGTTGTTTCCATTAAAAAGTACTGATTTTAAAAACTAATAACTTAAAACTGCCACACACACACACACACACACACACACACACACACACAAAACAAATGGTCCACAGAACATTCTCCTTTCCTTCTGAAGGTTTTACGATGCACTGTTATCATTAACCAGTCTTTTACTATTAAACTTAAATGGCCAATTGATACAAACAGTTCTGAGACCATTCTTCCACCACTGATTAAGACTGGGGTGGCAGGTATTGGGGATAATATTCATTTAGCCTTCTGAGCTTTCTGGGCAGACTTGGTGACCTTGTCAGCTCCAGCTGCCTTCTTGTCCACTGCTTTGATGACACCCACAGCAAGCGTCTGTCTCTGTCACAAACAGCAAAACGGCCCAGAGGAGGCTAGTCAGAGAAGCTCTCAACACACATAGGCTTGCCAGGAACCCTATCAACGATGGCAGCATCACCAGATTTCAAGAACTTGGTAGCATCTTCCAGCTTTTTTCCAGAATAACAATCTTCTCCTTCAGCTCAGCAAACTTGCAAGCAATGTGAGCTGTGTGACAATCCAGCAGAGGTGCATATCCAGCACTGGTTTGGTCTGGATGGCTCAGGATAATCACCTGAGCCATGAAGCCAGCTGCTCCCATGGGTGGGTCATTTTTGCTGTCACCAGCCACACTGCCACAACGAACATCTTTGACAGATACGTTCTTGACATTGAAGCCCACATTGTCCCCAGGAAGAGCCTCACTCAAAGCTTCATGGTGCATTTCAACAGACTTTACTTCAGTTGTATAGTTTACTAGTTTCAAATGTACTACCTTTGCTCCACATGAATGCACTGAGCTCACTTTCTACACTTCTGCACCTTCTGTCAATTCCTGTGTTCATTATAATCCCAAATTGTATAACTTACTGGAGGACCCTGTAAACCAGGAAAGCCGGGACTGCCTGGAAATCCACGTTCTCCCTAGGAATTAAAAATAAAAGAGGATGGAAGAACAAGAAACAAAGCATAACTATACCAACAAACAATAACTTGTTGAAAAGATTTCTGTAAAAGCCATTCAGAAACATGCCAGATTGCCAAAAACTCATTAGCCTTCCCTTTCCAATTACTTCAATATCAACTGCTCATATCAGTTCAGCCTTCTAAGATACTTTTATCCCTACTCATCAGTCCTAATCAGAAATAAAGAAAAAATCTTCTACCCCAGTCATTTTCTTCTGACAAATCCATTTTGAGACGATCATACCACAGATTCCTGGCCATCATCACATTTAATAGTTAATGATTTGTCTCAATTTCCTGCCCATGCATTATATAGATTCTTATTTTAACTGCCCTATTGCATTTTTCTTTTATTGTAAACTATTTCAAATTATTTTTGTGAAGAGGAAAAGATGGTGAGAAAGACTGCCATTAATATCACCAAGAGGACAATAATAGCAATAGTTCTAGCAATTGAAGGTCATTATGTTTTCTAGGCACCCAATTTTTCTCACTCACCATTGTAAAGTACTAATATGGACATTTGGTTTAGAAAACAAAAGTAAAATTGCTGTAGAAGAACCCCAATGCAACCTCCTTTCTAATACCTACATGCCATGGTAATCCTAGAGACATTCTTCTCAAAGGTTTAAAAGAGTAAGATTATTACAGCCTTTGAGTTACTTTGTCCAGTACTCCTCTCTCCATCACTTTTTACATATGGAAAAAATAGGCCCAGAGAGAAAGGAAATGGCCTGTACATCAAGTTTAGAAGACAGAAAACAAAAGAACCCATATATTCTGATTCCATCTCTAGGGCTCATTCTATTAGTTAAATAGTAAGAAATATTTTTAAAAAAGCATTTAATCTGAAAGTATACATAATAAATTCCATTTAAAAATTTGTTGCTCACATAATTGGGGGCCTCACACATAAACTAATCATGAGATCTGCTAAGGTGCTACTTTATAACAAGAAAGAAAAAGATCTCTTTCATCATATAGCATACTATACACATTGTGGATACACTGGTCTTCAAATTTAAAACTTTGGCTAGTGGTCTTTCTGTTGCTCAAGGCATGCTGGCAAACAAACAGATAACCAGAATAGGCACAAGAATGTAGTCCACTTTAAAAACAATGTTCCATGCAAACTACTCCACATTGGTCCTATCACTGTAAGGCTGCCCCAGCTCAAATGAAGAACTCAGGCAAGCCTCACAAATCCGCCCCACCCTGCCAAAAATATATTGTTGTTGTTGTTGTTGTTGTTGTTATTGGCAAGAGTCACACTGACCTGGAGAAACATTGGAGGTAAAAATAATTTTATTGCCTTCAAGTATATACTACAATAATTATCACAAAATACAGCCTTCATAATACAAAACAGTTTGTTCAAGTTATTTTAAATATGTACCCTAATACAAAATCTGACACAAGCCATTAAGTTAGAAGGATCGAGGCTATTTCATGAACAGTTCCACAAAATATCACGTGCAGAATGGAAAATGCCAAAAGGATATACAGAAAATAATAACATATTGCATTAATAGATAGGAAAAGGAGAAAAGTGAGGGAATAAGAACAGAGGCTATGATAAACAAACAGTCAAAAAAGCAAATTTTCCTCACTTTTTATCCTTGCTATCACTTTATAATAAATCCAAACAGTTGACGGAAGATAAGAAAAGTGGGCCAGGAAAAAATGTTTTTCATATGTAAAGTTTTATTTTTCTTTTTAAATTGTTAAATTCATCATTTTAGCTGATGGAGAAGTTTCTGTTTTCATACTAATAGTTTATAGTAAAAATTAATGTCCTGTATTACAGGTAGATTTTTAGGATTTTTCTTAAGAAAGTTATTAGGCAAGGTAAAAAAAAATTCAAAACATGCATTTTTGAAAACTTACATTGTACCTAGTTTTTAAAAAGGCAAAGCTAGTGAATGACAGTCATTAAGTATTACTCTTAACAACTAATATAATATTTGAAATTTATATATCCTAATTCCTTTTTAACTTTCATCCTACTTTACACTAAAGTCAAAATAGGATTCAGGGGTGCCTGGGTGGCTCAGATGGTTAAGCGTCTGCCTTCGGCTCTGGTCATGATCCCAGGGTCCTGGGATCAAGCCCCACATCGGGCTCCCTGACCAGTGGGGAGTCTGCCTCTCCCTCTCCCTCTACTGTTCCCCCTGCTTGTGCTCTCTCACTCTGTCAAATAAATAAAATCTTTAAAAAAAATAGGATTCAGTAAAAACCTTCAATCCAATGCAGTATCTCGGCTGATTATACATGTCTAAAGAATTATTGATGTTTCAATATTGAAAATGTTAACTCAGAACATACCCTATGTATGTCTTAGACATGAAGCTACTGTATCTCTAACATTCTTCATATCGATTTCCTTAAACTTTAAAATCTATTACTATCGGGGTGCCTGGGTGGCTCAGTCCCTAAGCGTCTGCCTTCGGCTCAGGTCATGATCCCAGGGTCCTGGGATCGAGCCCCACATCAGGCTCCCTGCTCTGCGGGGAGCCTGCTTCTCCCTCTCCCGCTCCCCCTGCTTGTGTTCCCTCTCTCACTGTGTCTCTCTCTGTCAAATAAATAAATACAATCTTTAAAAAAATAAAATAAAAAAAATAAAATCTATTACTATCAAGCATATTGCCTAAGATTAAGTTGAAAAAAATCTCACCTTGGTTCCATTGCATCCAGGGATACCTTGAGGTCCCGGGGCCCCATCATGGCCTGGCATTCCCTTTGAAAAGGGATATAACACATGTATAATATTTCTTAGATTACTTTTGAAGGAATTTTCAATTAAAAAGCCAAATTCTACTTACAGGAAGACCTGGTGTCCCTGGAAATCCAGGAAGTCCAGGAGGACCCTATAATAAGAAATAAATTCCTTGAACCAAACAACAATCAGTAAGAATAAAATTATATCCTACCTAAGGGAATTATGAAAATTACATTTAGAATAGCAATGGACAAATGTGTCTCATTGATGATTACCATTTGTTCTTTCTATAGAAAAAAAAACCTCCTACACGTGTTTAAAAGTCTCTTTTATAGGAACTATAGAAGAAACTCCTATTTGAGGGAAAACTGTCTTCATTGCACGTAAGCAGGAGCAGGCAAATTAGGGGAAGAAATGTCTTTTCTAAAAGATAAAGTGGTTCTCTCAGGTTTGTGATGAATACTGAATTTAGCAGGGGATGGGGAAGTGGCAAAAATATCTGCTCCTGAGAACATCAATGTGATCACTCCAAAAATTCTTCCATCAAATTTCCCTGTCAGAATTGGCAAAAATACAAGTTTGACAATATTCTCTGTAGGTGAGACTCTGGGGAAGAGGTACTCTTATACACAGCTAATGGGATTCAAACATCATGGAGAGAAATTTGAAATATCTAGCAAAATTACATGTTTTTACCCTTTGAAGCAAACCATTTCTAAGAACCTATCCCAAACATACACTAGAAATTATGAAACAAAATCTGAATTTCAAGGTTATTAAGATTACAGCATTGTTATCACTAAAGTTTAGAAATGACCATTTAGGGGCACCTGGGTGACTCAGTTGGTTGGGCGTCTGCCTTCAGCTCAGGACATGATCCCAGGGTCCTGGGATCAATCCCTCGTTGGGCTCCCTGCTCAGCGGGGAGTCTGCTTCTCCCTCCCCTGCTCATGTATTTTCTCTCTCTTTCTCTCTCCCTCTCTCCCTCCCTCCCTCCCTCCCT